AGACAAGTTCCACTTCATTAAAGACCTATTCATGGCAGGGAGATACTAGAAGTGTTCATTCTAATGTTCACGTAGCTCCAGAGAATTTAACCTTTAAAAACTCAAACTCTGTGTGGGGCTCAACCCTATCTGTGTACTTTGCCCTAATAAGCGGATGGCATGTGAGCCACACATGTGTAAGGAGTCAGTGGAAGCAGCACAGTCTAATTGCTTTCCTCCAATAGATATATTATGGAGACTTTTGATCTTATATAAAGGCAGTGAGAGAAAATATAGCAGCTTCCGGAACAGTGCAGTGCATTTATGGAGAATAAATGTAGCTATATTTAGAAGATTCACTCGCTTTATTTCTCTTTGAAGGTTACTTTCTTTTATAATACGTCTGGATTCAAATTAGTGCCACCTTAAAATAGAAGATATTCTATTTTATGCATGTACAGTATGTCAAACAAAAATAACAGATACTCTATTTCTTGAATGCATGTCATAAAAGTGTGTGTGTGTATTTTTTTATATATATATATATATATATATATATATATATATATATATATATATATATATATATATACGTACATACAGTGCAGGTATTGTCAGGAGGACTACTTACTGTGACAACTGTGAGAGGTAATAAACCTGTTACATTTACCCATTACATAGTCTACATGCACTTAAGGTGCAACCAAAATTAGCACAAGGCACATAATATATATAGTCAGTAGAATATGTCCCTTGTGGTGTTTCCTCTGCTGTTAGCTAAAATCTTCTTCCATCCTGACCCCCCCCCCCCCCCCCCAACTATGGCCACTGTAATCTTCCAGTGCGGTGGGGGTTAATACAACTAGTGGGCTGTCACAGGCCCTCAGTGATAAATGTAAGGTTATGCACTTGGGGGGCTAAGAATATACATGCATCATACATACTAGGGGGGGTACAACTGGGGGAATCAATGGTGGAGAAGGATCTGGGAGTTCTGGTAGATCACAAGCTTAATAATGGCATGCAATGCCAAGATGCGGTTTCTAAAGCGAGCAAAATTCTCTCTTGTATTAAAAGAGGTATAGACCCCAGAGAGAGATATATACTTTTACCCCTGTACAGATCATTAGTAAGACCTCATCAGGAATATACATGTAAGGGATTTCCATTGAGACGAATCATGAATAGAAATGCGCATAGAAACTACCGGAGAAGAGTGGTCGGTTGTGCGCATGCGCGCGGAAATGCGCGATCGCGCACGTGCACATGCACGGCGAAGATTGGTGCCAGACGGGCTATTTAAAGAGTGCCTCTGCCCATGATAGGTGCTGACTGGTCTTCAGCTCCCCCGTGTCCTGCTTGTTCCTGTGTGATTCCTTTGTTGCTGACCCGGCTTGTTCCTGACCTGACTCTGATTGCTCTCCTGATTGATACTGGTTCCTGACTTCGGCTCTGCTCCTGACCTTGGCTTTGCTTCTGATTCTGTACTGTGCTGTCCGCCCGTTGATGACCCTGGCTATTCCTATGACACTGCTCCTGTCTCTTTCCCTGGTTACCTGCCTTGCTCTGGTGCACACCTGGCAATCTACAAAACCCACTCTGCTTGTTACTACTGTGCCTGAATCAGAGGATCATCAGTCTTCCAAGGTCATCATCTGCAAGAGCTGCAAACAACATCTACTGGCGCTTTTGTCCCCCTGGTCCCTAGACTCCCCCTGTTCCAACTCCAGTGGGGTCAGGGCTAGTGACACAAGTGAGGCCGACCTCGTCATTTCAGTCTCCCATCAGGTTCATGACAATGCAGTTCAGTTTTGGGCACCAATTCACAAAAAGAAAATTGGGGAACTGGTACAGAGAAGGGCAACCAAACTGATAAGAGGCATGGAGGAGCTCAGCTATAAGGAAAGATTAGAGGAACTGAATGTATTCTCTCTTGAGAAGGGGAGATTATGGGGGGGATATGATCAACATGTATATATACATCAGTGGTTCATATGGTGAACTCTGTGATGTCCTCAGGGTGAATAACTCTACACTGAGGACACGGGGGCACTCTTTACGTCTGGAGGAAAAGAAATTTAATCTCCAAACACAAAAAGGTTTCTTAACAGTAAGAGCTGTGAAAATGTGGAATAGACTCCCTCAAGAGTTGGTTCTGGCCAGCTCAGTGGATTGCTTTAAAAAAGGCCTGGATTCTTTGTTGGAGACACAGAATATAACAGGTCACTAACAGGGGTGGACTGACAACTCATGGGGCCCCCAGGCAATAGGGGATCATGGGGACCCTGTGTCCTTGCCCACACTCAAAAAAGCCTATAAAAAAGGTACCAGGGGCATTTCATGGGGCCCCCTACTGACCCCAGGCCCTCGGGCAGTGCCAGAGTGCTCAAATGGTCAGCCCGCCCCTGGTCACTAACATTTATAGGTAAGGTTGATCCAGGGAATATCCGATTGCCCCTTGTGGGATCAGGAAGGAATTTTTTTCCCCTGCAGGAGCAACTTGGATCATGCTTTGCTGGGTTTTTTGCCTTCCTCTGTATCAACTGTGGGTGTAGGATTATAACTTTTTTTTTTTGTAATGGTTGAACTGGATGAACACTTGTCTTTTTTTTTCAATCAGACTAACTATGTAACTATGTGACTCATCAAGAGAGCCAGACTATGCCCATTTTTTACCAGATCTACCGTTACAACAGCTTCTCTAAATGAAACATGATCTATGAATGAAGGATGGGTGGGTGATTGAAATGTCCACCCCTTTCATTCATAGATCATGTTCCATTCATAAAAGCTTTAGTACAGCTTTTCTCAAAGGCGGAGCTAGTCTTGATGTGAGCCTGTAACAGTACCTTAGTTGTATCAACCCCACTACATCAGATTACAGCGGTGGGGGACAGAGGGAGAACATTTGTTTACAGAAGAGGAATTAGCACAAGAGACGCATCCTACTGACTGTAAGTTATGATCCATGTGCTGATTTTTCTGTTTGTGAGTGTTGGCTGCACTTAGGCTTTAGCCTGAAAAAACAAACAGTATGTGATGCTAAGTTGGCTTTAGGTGCTCACTCACAGCTGAAATATTAGATTTTGAAGAACTGATCTTTAATTGTTATCCTATATAGTAGTTGTTAACCCTGCTTGACTAACATCACCTGAACTTGGGCCTGATTCCCATGTGATCGGCTACATAGACTGTTCCAAATTTTTGGGCCTGACCTATTAAAGAAGTCAAACACCTTCATTAAATAAGTTGAATGAATTTTCACTTCAATTATCCAATGATGCAAAAAGCAACTATAATTCCTGTTCACGTATTTCACCTGCACTTGATATTCAAAGTGAACAGCAATTTGCTTTTCATATGATATTTGAAGTGAATATTCACTCAACTTATTCAGGGACAATTATCTACTCCTTCAGTAAATCAACCTCACCTTTTAGGATCCTCTTGCGATTATTGCCAACAGCTATAACCTCTTGCAGGAAAGAAAATTGCATCAACTTTAGCCTGGCTTACGCATTTTGCACTTGAAATGCCCACTCATGAGGTCCTTATCAATAAGCACATATAATGCAAAACATGTTTGCATGATATTCTGCTGTTTCTTTCTTCTTGAGAAAATAACCTACTATTAAGCAGTGAGCACCTGGAACCCATTTTTTCTTTGAAATTTTGGATATCAGGATCTGACAAGTCTGGGGTACAAGTGTTGCCTCTGTGGCAATGTATGGGGAAGCTGAATACTCCCTTGCAGTAGCAATTTTCTAAGACATTTTTGATTTTGTCTCACCGAATGTCATTACCTATACTCTACTGCAGTGAAGGGGGCCTCAAATGCTGCCCCTGACATCACCAAAAGGGCCACACATAATGTTCAATATATCAGAAACTGCAGACCTAATAGAGGAAATGATGGGCAGAGCATGTGTACATGCTGCATTGTTGCCTGGAGATATGCTGCAGAAGACAATATGAAACTGGGAACATGTTACATGAGGATACTAGAGATCAACGCTGTTACCCTAATCAATGTTCCCATTACAGACTGCTGAGGGCTACACGTAATATACCAAAGGACTACATGTAACCCTCAGGCCACAGGTTAGGCACCAGGGCTCTACCAGTTGGCTTTCTCCCCTACCTGTGTCTTCAGTTACTCTATGCTTAACCCTTGACATAATTCCACTGGATCTGGTTGGAGCATTGGACTGCTTCATCAGCCCCTTATCATCTGACTTCCTCAGGTAATGTCCAGCCTGCCCAGACTTTATAATCTGCCACATTACTACAGAGTGTACCAGAAATATGGCTTTTTGGGAGCAAGGAGTAAGGGAATACACATTATTCCTCATCCCCAAGAATTAAAGCAATATTAAACCCAAAAACAAAATGTTAATATACTGCAGTTTACTAGTCCATAAATGTGGTGCCTGCATTAGTTTTGAATTTTTTAGAGATTTTTTTCCTTTAATTTTAACTGATGATCTGGCCAGTAACACACTTCCTGTCTTAGTGTGTCTCTACTCAAGTTAGAGGAGCAACAGAGACACCTTTGGACAGCAGCGTTATCAATCTGGGGAGAGGGTAGTGAAAGATGCACTAGCAGATTTAAATGGACCTGCCAAATTAAAGCCAAACTCCAGCAAACACTATTTAACCACTTGCCTACTGGGCACTTTCACCCCCTTCCTGCCCAGTCCAATTTTCAGCTTTCAGTACTGTTGCAAACCAAATTTGTTTGAGACAGATAGATCTCTCTTTTGGTTGTATTTAACCACTTGGCTACCGGGCACATATACCCCCTTCTTTACCAGGCCAATTTTCAGCTTTCAGCGCTGTCACAATTGCGCGGTCATGCAAGATTGTACCCATATGAAATTTTTATCATTTTTTTTTCTCACAAATAGAGCTTTCTTTTGGTGGTATTTAATCGCTGCTGGGCACTTTACTTTTTGCGCTATAAACAAAAAAAATTGCAAAAACTTGAAAAAAAAAAGTTTTTGTTTCTATTATAAAATTTTTCAAACAGGTAATTTTTCTCCTTCACTGATGTGCATTGATGAGGCAGCACTGATGGGCACTAATAGACGGTGCTGAAGGGCACTGATAGGCAGCACTGATGGGCACTGATAGGCAGCACTAATGAGGTGGCACGGATAGGCGGCACTGATAGGTGACACTGATAGACAGCACTGATAGGTGGCATTGACTGGTATCACTGCTGGGCACCGACTGTCGGCACTGCTGGGCATTGACTGGCGCAACTGCTGGGCACTGACTGGCAGCACTGCTGGGCTGCACTGATGGGCACTGGTGGGTGGCACTGGTGGGCACAGGTGGGTGGCACTGCTGGGTGGGCACAGGTGGGTGGCACTGCTGGGTGGGCACAGGTGGGTGCACTGCTAGACACATGAGGGTACACTGATGGGCACAGGTGGGCGCACTTCTGGGCACAGGTGTGTGCACTGCTGGGCACAGGTGGGCGGAACTGGTGGGTGGCACTGCTGGGCACCGATCATCAGGGCACTGATCATCAGTGCCCTGATGATCGGTGCTGACAACTGCCGATTCTCGGCAGTACTTTCCTCACGCTGAAAGTGCAGCCGAGAACTGGCAATTGCATTTCCCGGTGATCAGCGTGTCATTGGACATGGCTGATCACGTGGTAAAAGGCCGCTGTGATTGGCCTTTTACCACATCACGTGATCAGCTGTGTTCATAGGAGATCGCTGGGTGCGCACCCCGGTGCGCGCAGGAGGGCGCCCTCCCAGAACTGGCCGGCCGCAGTGTAGCCGTCATTCGGCTGTCTGCAGTCGGCAAGTAGTTAATCACCACTGAGTTTTTTTTTTGCTAAACAAACTAAAAAAAACAAATTTTGAAACAAAAAAACATTTTCTTTGTTTCTGTTATAAAATTTTGTAAATAAGTAATTTTTTCTCCTTCATTGAAGTGCTGATGAGGCGGCACTGATAGGCGTCACTAATGGTTACTGACAGGCATCATTGATGGGCACTGAAAGGCAGCACTGATGGTTACTATATGGCACTGATAGGCAGCACTGACTGACACAGGTGGCACTGATAGGTAGAACTCACTGGCACTGATATATGGCACGGATGGGCACTGATAGGCAGCACTGATGGGTACTGATAGGCGGAGTGATGGACACTGATAGGTGGCACTGATAGGCATCGCTAATGGGCACTGGAAAGGCAACTCTGATGGGCACTGATATGCGGCACTGATGGTCACTGATTGGCAGCAATGATGGGCACTGAAAGGCAGCACTGACGGGGCTGCACCAATAATGTAATCCGTCTGGGATTACATGAATAAATATAAAGCCGACCATCATAATCATTCTTGTCAGTGGCAAACTGCCACTTTTGCTAGACAGCTTGGTCTGTTAAAGTGATACTAAACCCAGGATCCTGCATTCACTATATCTGGTCTCCCACAGTACACACAACATGGAAATGCAATTATTTATTAACTAAATACCTTTTCTTATCAGCAGTTTAGATCAGTCTTGTGACTTCAGCAGAGCACTGGTTCAAGCTTGTAGGAGGAGTTATCTTTCTGCTCAAGGATGATGTCAAACCCTTGACCCTCTGTCTGGACAGTGCTGGTTGGCCCTGTGCTGATCACATGCACTCTCCCAAGAAAAAAAAAAAGAAGCTCTCTAGCAATACACATCAAACTGAGCATGTGCATGTGATTATGGATTCAGTCTGTATCATGTGGTCATTTCAACAAGAGGATGGGCAGGGAAGGAAGGATCAAACAGCCTTTTTACACAATGCAGAGGATTAACCCCTTAGGTTCCACAGTGAGTATAACAAGCATGCTTTACTGCATGTACAGACTGATTTTACTGTTGTGGGTTTAGTAACACTTTAAAATAAGCTGAAAAATATCAGACTTAGGCCCCTTTCACACGAGCGTTCCGTTTGCTGGCTTTTCATCCATCCGTTGATGGATGTAAAACAGACATCAATGCATCTCTATGGAAAAACAGATGTAAACAGATGATCATCCGTTTTTACAGCCATTTACATCAGCATCCATCAACATTCATTTTTTGGAACAGATCAAAGTCCTACTTTTTGTTCCGTTAAAAAACAAAACAGATGAAAAATGATGAAAAATGGGTGTAAATGGACTTACTGGCCAGATCGGCAGGTGAAAAAAATAAGGGAAAGAGATCCTACATAAAGGAAAACTAATGAAGCCGCAAGCAGTCACAGCCTGGTGCCCACAGTTGAGATGCCGGAACCATGGAGGAGAGAAGGTGAGAACATCGCTGGACCCTGGGACAGGTAAGTGTGTGTTTATTAAAAGTCAGCAGCTACAGTTTTTGTAGCTGCTGATTTTTAATAAACACAAAAATGGCTGGAACTCCGCTTTAATCACCCTCTCTGTGCAAATATCATTGTGCTAAGAACAGAGATTACAAATATTGCCCTGAACATCAATCAGTAATTTTTTTTTTCAGCTGAACATCTCAAGACCAGTATATTCATTACTCTATTTTAAGTAAGAATGAGGTCCGTGAGATTATTATTAACCACTTGCTCTCCTGATGATTTACCCCCCCTTCCTGGCCAGGCCTTTTTTTCTCACAAAATTTTGAAATATAAAAGAAAAAAAGTTTGTTTTCTTTCTTCATTTTCCAAAAACTTGTGGCAACAAGCGAGATCTGAAAAATACTCACCATGCTTCTTATCAAATTCCTTTGGGTTTCTACTTTCCAAAAAGGGGTCATTTGGGGGGGGGGGGGGGTGCTATCCTGGCATTTCAGGGCCTCCAAAACCTTGATAGGTAATATAATGAGGAATAAAGTCCTTTAAAAGCCTGAAGGTGCTTATTGGATTTTTGGGGTGCTGTACTTGTCTAGACTGCCAAAAAGTCTCTCACACGTGGTACCCCCATACTCGGGAGAAGTAGCAGAATGTATTTTGGGGAGCAATTCCCCATATACCCATGGCATGTGTGAGCAATAAATTATTTGACAAAAAATAATGCTATCACAGGGAATGAAATACCCCCTATAACTTCAATGAGCATTTATTCTTTTTTTTTTAGAAATTTGGGGTCTATCAGACTCTAGATATCTCCTCTGCCCTTACATTATCTAATCTCACCAAAATCAGTGTGATCAGATGCTTTCCCAATTTACAAATGGCTCTGTTTATATCCTGCGAAACTGAAGTGATGAAATGCTTGTAGCTTCCAATTTCTTAGACTATAGGCATGATTGGCACATTCTGGTCTCCATTCAGCTCTATGGTCAGCTGGCAGAAACACTGGCTGCATTCTCAGGTTCCCCCAATGGCACGGGACTGTCTGAGAGGTCCGTGGAAGGCAGCGGGAGAGGGGGGCATCATCTCCTGCTGCTTGTAAAAGCAATCCTGCAGCTATTTAGCCACTAGGATTGCTTTTACATGAAAGCCAATCACCAGTTGAAAAAAAAACTATACCAGGGTGATGCTGCAGGCATCATCCTGGTATAAGCACTCAAAGCCCAGTGATGTACCAGTATGTTGCCTGGCCTTGTTGGGTGTATATGCTATGTTCTCTCTCTCTCTTTTTTTTTTTTTTTTTATGCAGTCTGCGGGCTGAATGAAAAAAAGAGAAGAAATCTCTGCAAGAAAAAGTGTGTGGTATTCCCATCATTAGAATATACCGCCCTGCATCCACCCACTTCTAATGTTGGACACACATGAAATGTGTGAAATGAAAAAATATTATAAAAATATATCTGCCGAAGCATAGGGGCTGTCCACCCACTGGTCACCCCAGGCCCCCATGCTTCAGCATATATGGTCTTTTTTTAACTGTGGATGAAATATCTCATCCAACAGCACTACACACACCTACTTATATATATTCTGAGAGCAAGCCCTGTTGCTGTCAGAAAAAACAAGTTGGTCTAGCGCACCCCCTACCCGGAAATGCAAAATCACGTGTATATATACATGATTTTGCACACCTGTGCCACCCTGTAGCAGTATTTCTGCTATAGGGTGGTTAATTAATCATCAGTATTTTTATTATTATTATTATTATTATTATTATTAATCTGGGTATATTCATTAATATTAATTATAGTAATTTCATAAAAAGTAAAAACATGGTTGTAGATTGTCTCTGTTGAATGTGTGAACATTGGAGAGTGATGCTTTTTCAATGAATAAGCAAACCATAAACCACACGTAGATCATGATGGCTCACCATCAACAAGGGCTTATCTTTTGAGACAAAGGTTTGGATTAACTATAAAATAAGATGTTTGCAGATGTCAGAGAAGACTTTCACATATATTGATTTTACAGAGAATGTTCTGTAATGAAGCAAGCACATCTCAGGTACAACATTCATTCAGCAAACACTACAGATACATGTGAACCACTAAATAAAATGTTATCATATCCAGCCATATGTTTTCTTAAGTTCACAAGGCAACACGTTCTCCATGATATTCTTAGTTTCTATGATGTGTTCATACAACTTTTAAAATATCCTTGCACTGTTTATTGAAGGCCATTTTGTATTTCAGCCATCAACCTGTAAGATATCTATCCATTTATATTTAGTTTCCAATATACTGTATATTCAATTTATATCTTATAAGACGTTTGCCATGATCTATTTGGTCTCTATTATATATTCAGTTTCTTAACCTAGCCATAAATGGATATATATATATATATATATATATATATATATATTTATTTTATTTTTATTTTTTACATCAACCAGCCAGCTCATCAAAAAACACAAACAGATTCTACACCCATGCATTCAGGGTCAATGAAGGAATCCTCCCTGCTAGGTTGGGCTTGATATTTGAGTTGAACGTGAGTTCAACTCAAACATCGGCTGTTAATGTGTTTGGCAAACACACAAAAGATAAGGGTGTTCGGTGTGCTGTTCGCCTGCCTTGCCCCACAATGCACTGTGCCCTGACAGTGCATTCTGATTGGCCAAAGCAATGCACCTGACTGCAGGTCAGGTGCAATGCTTTGGTCAATCACAGCGCATGATGATGTCACATGGGGGCGAGGTGACCTTGCCCCCTTTTGATGTTATCACAGCATTTAACAACTGTCATCCTGGCACAGCTTTCAGATAGCCAGGACCTAGCGTCCAGAGTATATCGTTTTTTTCTTTTTCGGGTCAGCGGTGGCGGCAGGCATCGTGATTGACGCTGGATCTACTTCAGGGGACTTTGTTTATTTTTGTTTTTCATAAAGGACTTTTCAAAGACTGACTTCTGTAATTTTTTACTGTACATTTTTTTTTTGTGAATGAGTAGTGGTACCATGTACTCCATACTTATTCGCATAGGGGGGCCAGGATGTGGGGGCCCCCCTGTTAAAGGAGGCTTCCAGATTACGATAAGCCCCCCACCCACCGACCACAACCACCGTAGGGAAGAGGCTCTTGTCCCCATCAACATGGGGACAAGGTGCTTTGATTGGGGAGCCCCCCCTGCTGCAAAGCACCCCACACATATTGAGGACATGTGGCCTGGTATGTTTCAGGAGGGGGGGTGCTCACTTGCCCCCCCCCCCTTTCCTGACCTGCCAGGCTGCATGCATGCATTCTGGAATGAATTTTGGAGAGACCCCCACGCCATTTAAAAAAAAAAATTGTCGGGCAATGCCAGCAATTCTTTACATTCAGCTGTCAGCAGGGAACCCCGATGACAACTGAAACATTAAAAATGTTTTCACTACTAAAATACCACATAAATTAATAATATAAACTCATGCGGTATTTTAGTAGCTCTGCGGTATCTTACACATATTCAGATGCAGTAAGATACCACTTAGTGAATTGTCCCCTCTTTTAAAAGTTTGTGGTCGAACCGAACAGGCCCATTACTACTCCCCCCCGCTGTTCTATTGTATTCTGACAGTGGGACTCCTCTGTCAGAATACAGTGCCGCAGCTGATTGGCTGATCGAATGAAAAATTTCCAGCATCCCTGTTTGAGAGAAGCCAATCATTAGATTGACTTCTCTCAAACAGGAGTGGCCAAAGATGGATGGAAATGTGGCCAGTCCCTGCTGAACCATCTGTTGCCAGCTTTACATACAATATGGATCATGTACATCCTCATTCTGTCCCTATAACATCTGTAACAATAGATGCTGTTTAGACACAAAATAATTGCTGATTTATAATGATTTGTAAATAGCACCTCCCTTACCTTCAGACCCTTTAAAAACTTTGTACAATCATCTAATAAACAGAACTGGTATTTGGAGCATAAGGCTGTGTCTGTGTG